CCGCGGTAAAAAGTATCCTATATGTTGACCCGGATAACCAGCTATCATCATACCAAATGTTATCAAAATCTGTCCAGTGGTTTTCTCGTGATGCGGTAACAGACAGACAGACAGACAAAAATTCTAAAAACTATAGATTCGGCCTCGGTATCGATAATAATGTCTATTTCAATAAGATTTTCCAAAAAATATTTAATGTACAGGTTCGACTTAGTTACAATTTTATTGTATGTATAGAAGTCAGTCCCTTTAATGTCTCTCTGCTGGGCCGATCACGTGCAATGCGAGGGGAATGAGACCCTAGTCCACCTTGCTGACAAAATGCCATTTAGCGTACCTCACACGTTTTAGAAATGATGATTCATTAGGATGTTTTCTTTTATCATATTAGGTAGTGGTAGGAATCGAAAAGGATTCGCATATAAATCTGAGAAGTGAGTTTGGGGTTTTGTATCTGCTTCATTTGTTACTTTAATTAAGCCAGCGCGCTATTAATGGGCTACGGTATTTTCTGGACTAAGTAGGTAAATATATATTGCAGCCACCATGTTTAATTTTATCTTTTAAGCACTGAACGTAAATTATTAATGAATGGTTTCTGTTTAGAAACCATTCATTAATAATTTATGGGTCTTCTAAACGAAAATTACTGACCACTAAATACTCTTGGTGGCAATAATTAATTACCAACAGAAATGTTACTGAAATTGACAGCTTATTTTAGTACAAAGTTCACATAATTGAAGCAAAAGTTGTTTTTTTTAAAGAGTTGCAAACAGTTAAGAACAAAGATATAGTTGTCATTTTCAGTGCAAACGCGCTTTTATATATGTACATAGTATTTCATCATTAACAATAAAGAATAAGAAAAAAAAACAAGAGTATAACGGTTTCCAAGATTATTTTTATATTACAATAAAATTCAATGCATTTCTGGTCATAATCAGATACCAGTGGTACTGCTTATCTCTAACACGTAATATCTACAAAACAAACGCGCATATATATATACATAATTAACAAAGTAAATAATGTTAAACTTGATTATGCTACATAAACATACTCTACGTTTAAAGTAGACTTAAAAATTAAGCCATCAGTTTTATTATTTATTTTCATTCATTAGCGTCCGGCAGTTCAGCGAAGCCAAGGAACGCACAGGGAGGTGGTCCACTTCGGTGAGCGGTGTGCGCAGCGGGTTGCTCCTGGTACTTCTCTGATACTAGAGTGGACTGTGGAGCAACCCCATGGTTGTTATGATTTGCTTCGGCAGACCTGCCATCGGGGCGTCGTAGTTGAGTGCGTGAGCGATCCTGCGATGCCCCTTTAAGACGGGGAAGGTTTTAGTGGGTACTGGCTTTTCTACCCGGTGAGTCTCACCATAACCTGTATGTATACAGGTGGTATGCGTAAATGCATTTCCAATACAAAAAAAATGAAAAATATAGTGTTGTATATACATACATATAATGAACCCTCGGTGCGCAGTAATAACAATATGTAACTTTAATACATATGTAAAGATTTACCTGTCCAAGCATATTGTTTATCACAAGCAAATAACATATAGTTCTGTTTGAATCATATCATGAGTAAATAATGTGAAGGTAAGTGGAGATTCCGTTTAGATATCATTATGAAGTATCATAATACTATATAATATATCATAATATAGTATTGGATTTTAGTGGGTAGTACTGGCTTTTCGAGCCGGTGTGTCCCACATAACCACCTGCATATCTATAGGTAGTATGCGTAAATGCATTTCCCAACATTAAAAAACGGGGGATAGCACTATAGTTAAGGCAGTGGAAGCGCGCTTGTTTGGGAAGTCAAGTTAAGCAGGTTCAAATACTGGGTCTCGCACCTCTGATATTCTCATGTGCGAATCATTTTCAACATTTACCTTAAGGTGTAAGAAAAAAATATAAAACATTTTCTGTTATATCTAAGCTAACAAATTAAGGTAGCGGTTTTGTTTATTGCTTTTTTATTATTTGAACAGTATGTCTACCTAGATTCTCTTTAAAAATTTTAACTAATATATATAAGGGACAGAAAACCTTGCTTAAGTAGTATAGAGATCATTATTTTTAGGCAAAAAATATAACGAGGTTTTTATTTGAATTGTTTGAAAGCGATCATCAGTATGGTTAATTAATGTAATGCACATATTTTTTCTATTTTAAATGATGCAAGCATACCTCTAGTATTAAAGTAACTTAACTAAATTTAATTAATTTAAAATGAGAAGCACAATTCCTCGCAGAAACTGAAAAGCCAAATATTTCCGAGTTGCATGACAGAGAACGACGCCACAGGCCACAGAGCTTTAATAGTAGTAATGAACATAATAGAAATAAGGAAAAATTAATATGTAAAGTACTCTCGAAATGCCTTTTCAAAGCTTCATAGTTTTAAATGTCTTATATTTTAATAAAGTTAAAAAAATAAAGGTTAAAGAGAAATTCGCGAGAGATGTATTTCTTTTTTGAGCTTTTGTGTAATTTAAATACTATTTAAAAATGTGCTTTCTACTCTGCTACCATTTCTACCTGCTTTGAGCTTCGCTGGTGTTTGCAGTAATTTCTGGTTTGTACTGCTATATTCTTATTTTAATTTAAAAGTGAAATATAAGCCATGTAATAGTAAACATATATGAATCCTTGCAGTAGTTACACACAAGAATTTTATTCGTATTAAGTTCTGAAATCTCTTTCATTTTTGAGATCAAAAACCATTTTCAGTAATAATAATAATTAAAAAGTAAGTAAAAAATATTTTAAGTAATAATAATAATAATAGTAATAATTTTTCACTAAATGTCCGTCTGCAGGATACAAAATTTGACCTTATAATAATTATAGTGCAGAAAAGATAGCAATATACGCATACGGTCACTATCGTATTCGTGATAATAGTGAGGTTAAGAAAGTAAGGATCATGCTACAGATCATTATTAATTACTAACTTCATCGATCATACGACTTCAATATGTAATAGATCAATGAAATAAATTCTAGAATAGTTAATTGTTATGATACATAGGAGTGTTCATATTAAATAGTTATATACATATGTAAGTATATGGATAATTTTATGGTTTTATGTATGTATGACACAGTCTATGTAAATATATAATTCATGTGTTGTTCTAGTGTTATAAATTACAAATTACAACACTTCCTGTAATAATATGTCCAGTATATGATCGTATGGGGTAAAAATTAATTACTTAATAGAAGTGCATGCATGTATGTAATGAATGCATGATGTAAATTATTGTTTGTTGCTTCAAATTTTTAGCTTACTGAACCTTTTTTTTAGACATTGGCTTAGATATTTACAATAAGCCATTTTGAATGCCATATGAATGATGGAAATGAAAATTTTTAATCCACGTGGAATTTTCTTTTAGCGACAGACTATTCAAGGATAGCCTTAGAGCATCCGGATAAGTAGTAGCCTACAGTGTTGCCGTCTGGCTAACTAAGTATCAATGCAAAAGGTACCGTCATCTATAACGTTGTTGCTATGTCAAAGAAAAATAAGCACACGTACTTTAATATTACTAGCAATGATAACTTTAAAAGTACACGAATAATAAATTAAAAAATAGATTTAATAATATTTTATAGGTCATCTTTAAACATATTAAAAAAATAAGGCTAAAATAAACTTCCACAATAAATAGTTACACATTTAGATAAACATGATAAATACATACACAGCGAAGATAAGAGAATGAGTATAATCGAGTAAAAATGAGTAACAGTCTGAAAGATTATTTTGCCAGACATTCGGGATGAAATGAAACACATGGAACAAATATTTGCTTAGTAAACAAATGCTTCAAGTATTATAGGTGGTATACAAATACGATTTTAGATGTCTACTTCAGTTACTTCTGAAAGGTGAACCTTTATATATTACTAGCAGTGCCCCCAGCTCCGTCCGCGTTCAGATGACCAAAAACCAAATTCTTAGGTTTTACATATTAGTATACCCTTACATTGCAGTTTTTGTATTTTTTCTCAAAAATGAGATATTTTCCCGCGGTAAAAAGTATCCTATATGTTGACCCGGATAACCAGCTACCATCATACCAAATTTCATCAAAATCCCTCCAGTGGTTTTTCCGTGATGTGGTAACAGATAGACAGACAGACAGACAGTCAAAAATTCTAAAAACTATAGATTCGGCCTCTGTATCGATAATAATGTCTATTGCAATAAGATTTTCCAAAAAATATTTAATGTACGTATTCGGCTTAGTTAGAATTTTATTATATGTATAGGTAAATATTTAATATTTCTTCATACCTTTTTCATAAGACGTCACTTAGCTTAGATACGAGTATATGTACATAAAAAAGGCATGTAATAAATATTATTTTTTCCCTTGAAATGAAATATTGTAAGTACTTATGTAACTTTTATTTTCTTTTAAAGGCAATACATTCAGGTAGAAAAATTGAGTGTTTAAGCAACATGTAGATAGAATAAATATATTAATTTATAATCCGTTATATGAACTAAATAATTTGCTTATTTCGTGTAGTTTTTTGTTCTTATATCTTTGTTTAGGGCAAATATTACTATTATTAATACATATTTAATTAAAGTTTAGTGATGTAACTATGTTTAAGCAAAACTAACACGACGTTTTCAATTGTTTATTTTCTTGTCTAATCTATTTGCTAATTGAGACACGCGCATGCATAGTGCAAAGTTTATACTCACACAGTTACATCTTTTATTTACTGATAAAATGCGTCATACAGACGCGTGTAGAGTCATATATAAAAAGGAGCGACCCATTTAACTCCATACAGTAAAACAATTCTGGTGCAGTATAGTCTCTCTAACGGGTACCATCGAAATTTAATTTTGTTTCACAATTGTAGTACCGGCTTAATGTGAAGTCGATTTTGAAAATATTCAAACCTCATTGTTTGAGTTGAAAGCTTTTCACTTGATAAATTCAACGTTCTAAAAAAATGGATAAGAGGCAACTTATCGGAAGTGCGACTCGCTATATTGCCGGGCGTCATGCAGTCCAGACGGTGTATTGGCGGCGTGCAGGCGACGATACTAAGGGGCTTGTGAAGACCACAAAGATGACCTTTTTTGGCAAGAACGAGGGTGCCAACAAAGTCGACACCGCAGAAATGTTTGCCAGAGTACGGGATAGATATGCGTAATCTATAGTGCAATTTTTTTAATTATATCTGTGATAGCTATATTTATTTATAGTTTAATTAGTAATAATCGTATGGCCTCGATGTTAGAATATGAGTGACAATAAACTAAGCGTGTAAAGGAATAATTCTGCTTTTCTAATACTTGAATGAGTGAAGAGGTTTTTGTATTTATTATAATACTTTTTTTAAGAGTATTACTATAACTTTATACTGTCTGTTGTCACTAAGAGATATTTGTGACACTAAATCCTGTTATGTACAAATAAAAAATATTAGTACAATATAACCTGGTTTCAATTTCTTTTGTTTGTTTTTATTCAGCGTTTTAGTTTTATATGAAGATTAATGTAGTATGTTATTGTTTTTTATATTGTAAAAGTTTTTTTTCTGTGCAATTTACAATGAAAAAAGCTATATAATTGGAATATTTTAAAAATTATTCAGGAACTAGTTCAATAAAAAGTCTAATATTAAAAATATTAAGTAAACACATAGAAAACTTAGTACATCCACAAGTCTATTTTTTCCATTTTCTTTCAATTTTACACGTGGCCGGAAATCCAAAGCTTACTTGCAGTCTTAAAGCATGTATTCATAAATTATATTAAACAGGAAAATTGTATTTATTATATTTGATTTTGACAAGATTCGAATCAGCAACCTTCGATAATATAAGCTAAGCCGCTTTCAAAAACAAAATTGCTATTGTCGTAAAAAAATAAATAAGTTATCGATAGTTATAATTTTTTTTGTATATGTTGGGACATTAACACACATCTAATTCCTTGGTAAGCTACGAGGCTTGTCTTATGGATACTAGATAGTTGATACACTACACATATATAATTTTAAATATATACATATAAATATAAACACACATGACTAGATTACAAACACTCGTGCTTATCACATAAATGACTGCACGCAACGGTATTCAGCCCGCGACCGCTGGCACGGCAAGTAGGGTCACTACAAACTGAGCCAAACGTGTCGTCGTTAATATTATACGTACTCACTGTACAGTGTACAATCATAGTAATTAATTCAAAATTTCGTCTAGTAATTTACATAATGTACATAATCCACAATGTAAATATTAAATACCGTAAAACAATATTTGAATGTCATCCAGTGAATGTTTAAATAGATTTTGAGTTACGGAAAAGTGCGAGACTCGTACTCAAATATCTTGTCTATAGAGTCTCGCAAGTTGATGGTTTATGTGTTTTGCAAACAAGTTGTGCACAAGTTTGTATTTGCTGAGACAATAGTCTAGGATAGAATATAGATTATTCACTGTTAGTATAACGCTGAATTCAGATATCTTCGGCGTGTTATTGTTGAACTCAGTCCTTTTTGACCGATTTCAGAAAAGGAGGAGATTAGAGTTTATAATAAATATATATATATATATATATATATATATATATATATATATATATATAGAAGTCGAAATCTTAAAACTTAGAAAAAAACTTAGACATTTCTTTGCCATCATTGTCATTCTTCGAAAGAATATGCTTGTGGACAGGTTAAAAAGAATCCACATTAAATTCAAATACTTGTTTAATTTGTACTTAAGAATAATTTTAATTTTGCACGACATGTATGGCGCGCTCGTGAAGAAAAAGGTGAATGGTAAATAGTAAGCAAGTAGAACTGCGTCTGGCAGCGGGGGCCTGCAATGCCTATGTATGCCTAGACGTAGGATATAAAGCATTGTACAATGTACATATGTGCGCGTTATCGCTTAGCAGTCGAAACGGCGTTAACAGTTATGATTATTTTTTAATCAATAGTTAATACTTCAAGAGTATTTTCATATAAATTTTAAGAAATTTGTTGCTTTGTCAGCTGAAATTTTATAATCCTACCCTTATACGTATCGAAGATCAAGGGTCTTAAAAGTGCTCCAAGTTGCTTCGAGAAAAGCATAGTACAGCCGTGCCCGTCTTGTTTGCTCGACTTGGCTGGGGCACTATCGTGATAGATTAAGTATATTTTAACAGTTAATATTTGACTAGTAACTAGCTACTTTATGCAGCAACGCTGCTTGTGTATTTCTATCGTACGTACAGCTGTGATTTTATAGCTCATAAACATCACAGCGCTCTGTGCAAAACGAGAGTTAAAACTGTATCTTAGCATTTACTCAACCGATGAAGATTAATTTTGAATGTATATATATTATATACTAGCGGCTCACCCTCGCTTCGCTCGGGTTCGTCGCTAGGTACGTTTTAAATAGATATAAAAAGAAAAAATCTTTCTTTCTCACATTTTAATTATATGTTTTAATACTTACCTATTCCGGACTAAGAGAAATCCAAAAATTAAAATATCATAAAAATTGGAACGCGGTCGAACGGGATAAAAAGTATCCTATGTCCTTCTCCTGGCTCTAAACTACCTCCCTGCCAATTTTCAGCTAAATCGGTTCAGCCGTTCTTGAGTTATAAGCGAAGTAACTAACACGACTTTCTTTTATATATATAGATATAATTTTTAAACAAACATTTATTATAATAATATTTACCATCAAAACAAAGAGACAAAAAAATATAATATCTATTCATATACATGTTACGAACACCAATTTTTCCTTAAAATTTTTGTTTGTTACAGTTTTATTTGCCAGTCATGCCTACCTCTTGCACTACCTAATAATTATCCTATAGTTCACGGACAACGGTTCAATTTAGGGAAATATAATAACAATTTTCCTTAATATATGATGATCTAGGACCTACATATGTATAGCTATACTTACTACCTATTGTTGGGCACGGGCTTACCTTCAATGCGAAGAGGATCGGGGGGCCATAGCCCATCACGATGTCAAGTGCGGGTTGGCGGACTGCACATGTTTTTCGAAATCTTTGCTAGGTTCTCTCAGACATGCAGGTTTCCTCACGATGATTTACTTCACCGTAAGGCAAGTGGTACCTAATTATGTTGAAAATGATTCGCACCTGATGTGCGAGACCCGGGATTTGAACCCGCTTCAGTCGGTTTCCCAAGCGAGCGCGTGACCACTGTACTACCACTGTCTATATAATATATTTACAATATATTTAGGTAAGTAGGGCTTATTTTCGAATTATATGCTGATAGTAATTTCTAATTGATTTTATCAGTACTACTTTCAAATTATATCTTTCAAGAGTTTTCTAATGCTTAAAACTATAATTGTACTGGTGAAGAGGGAAAGAAATCGGATTTTCCACCAGGAAATAACTATTTATCATAATATTATTATAAACATTGATAACAGTTATTATAAATATTATCTTACTAATATTATAAATGCGAAAGCTTGTGAGGATATATGTGATTGTCTGGATGTATAGATGTATGAATGTTTGTTACTCTTTCACGCAAAAACTACTAAATAGATTTTAATGAAACTTTACAATAATATAGCTCATACATTAGAATAACACATAGACTTTTTATCCCGGAAAAATGTAAGGTTCTCGTGGGATAGATTTGTTTTTGTTTTACTAGAGGCAAACCCGAGTGAAGCGAGGACGAGCCGCTAGTATCTTAAATGAACAATTATTGTATATATAAATTTATTTCGTATATCTCGGAAACGCCTCTAACAATTTGGATCAAATTTTGTATTGAAATAAGGTTTTGGTTTTTAAGTTTATTTTTAGTCTATAGGTCTTTTCAAAAAAAAACGCTCTTTTTATATTTTTCCCGAAAAACGCAGAGCGAAGCTCGGTCTTCCAGGTACTTAAAAGTAAACATGGTTGCCATATTCTGTATTTTATAAATTATGAAACACACGACTTTCTTATTACATAATATAATATTTGCAAAAAGCTATTTTAAAAATAAACACTATTTCTCTATGTACTAGCGGATCCGATAGCAGACCTAGTTCTGTCACAGATCTCAGGCTGAAATTTTAAAAATAAAGATCTGGGTGAAGATAGGCCACCTACCGTGCCGAAGTATAGTTACGAACCATTCACGTAACATCAGTACATAAAAAGAAATTTATCAAAATCGGTCAAAACGTATTTAGAGTTTAGAAGGAGAAGAATGACAAACATAAATATACGGTTTTTGTATATATTATAATTAGTGCTCAAAACTGTATCAAAATCCGTACGGATTGTTTTTGCAATTAGCCCGACCAAACTAAACTCAACGGGGAAAATTTTAATGTAGCAAAATCACAAGGATTTCCATACATAATTTTATCCACACGTAGGAAATCTGTTTTCCCTTGATATACATCCTAAATATTCAAGTCAAATATTACGTGATTCTAATTTACATCAAAATCCATCTAGTAGTTTTGGCATAATAACATAACTTTCTTACTGCTTACAACTACGAGTATTCGTCATCCCGTGAGAAGATTTCTGAGCTGTCACTTTGGTGAATAATTTTAGTTTAATCTGTAGTCAGTAATATTTCGAATTTCTAATTTAAACTCATCTAAAGAATCACGCTTTCTGAAAAGCAAATCCTATTATATTTAGATGAATACATACACCACAAAGATAGGTATATACATATTTTAATTATGAACAAATAATTAGAATCGACGCCTTCTATTCGTAATATGTAATTGAATTCTTCATTTTTGTTGCGTAGGCTGGCATCAAAGTATTGGATTGGAATCATTATAATAATATATTAATTAGTTATATATTTATTAAAAAAACATATATTATTGCTATTTATACATATATATATATATTGATAAATCAATCAAATTTTTGTAAGAACAGGCCAGCCGAACCAGTTACTGTATTTTCGCATGGGAATGAGGGAATTTCCTGTAATGAAAAATACCCTAAATATTGACCTGAGTATTAAATTATCACTACAAAAATTTTTGTTCAAATCCGTTTAGTACATGAAAACCAAAGAGATATATAGACAAACAGACAGAGAAAAATTTCAACAACTGTTGTTTTGGGTTCTACATTTGGTACACTATATATACTCGTAACAGCCATTGCTTTTAAAAAATA